CCGCTAGCTTTTTTCGCTTCCCTCTTCTCAGCCTCTGCCTTCTCCAGCTTTTGTTGCTCCCTCTTAGCCTTCTTGAGAGCCTTTTTCCTTTCAGCGCTATCTTCACTGTCTCCCGCGCCGTTAACAGGCAATGGGCCATGGACAAGGTCAGGCTGATCATGCAGCAGAAGATATGCCTTGACAGCAGACAAAGCCATCCTCGTGAAGAACGGATGATCCCGCAGGTGATCCTCCCACCGGATCATATCCACGTAAGCCCTGATCATGCCCTTGCGTAGCGAGAAGCTGTGGAAGTCAAACTGATCCTCTTGCCATGTATCAAAGATATTGTAAACGGCGTGGAAACGTTTCAATGCAAGGCCGAGCTTCCTTTGCCGTAAGTACGCTTCTCCGTCCTCGGTTAGATACCAAACACACTGCATCTCATGAAGGTCGCCGAGAGCGCCGCCCACCGTCTCGTTACGCGTGAATTTGCTCATGTTATCCAGGGCTTTCTCATTATCGTTGTTTCGAAGCTGATACTTGGCCGCCTTCGAATTGATATACCGATCTTTCTCATCCAACGACCGCGCATAATCCATAACCTCCGCAGCTTTAGGAAGATTTCCGTAGTGCTTGTATATCCTGGCTTTTGTCATATGGTAATCCACAGATTTGGGGACCAAGTTAATGGCCTTCTCAACGTAGTCCAGGGCTTTCTCCAGATCACGGCTGAGATGGTAGTTGTAGTGTTGCGCAAGGAAATAGAAGACAGAGGCCTCAAAAACCGAGCTTTCACCATTGGTCTCCTTATCTGCAGATCCGTTCGCCTGAGACTGCAGCTTTCCAGAGGCGTAGCCCTCGACGAGTTCTTGGACTGTGTCACGCTTCGCGGGATTGTCGTATAGGGTCTTGATATTTGCAAAAAGCGATGGAACTCCCTTGCGCAGCATCCGTTGAAGGTAAGAGTCTGCGGCCTGTCTAAAGTCCTCACCCTCCAGGAAGTCCAGTGGAATTCGACGTGGAGCGTCGCCTTTGGGATATTTGTCAGCCCACTCGTCATACACCGCCTTCAGAGCTTTATGGTCGGTTTCTGGTATCCCCTTTGCCTTTATCAAGCCATCATAGTAATTGGAGTTCTCGGGATTCCGGTCGAGGAGAGCGGCGTACGCCGCCTCGGCTTCGCTCTTGCGATCCAGACGTAGAAGATAGTCTGCTCTCATTTCCATGACCGCGAGCACGTCTGAGCAGCGTTTCCCAACAGCCTCCAGATGCTCCAGAGCCTTCTCAATATTTCCTGACTCGGCAATAATCATATTCTTGTATAAGACTGCCTCGGAATGTTCCATGTCGGTTCTCGGCGGCGGGGTCTTGAGGGTTTCCTCGTAAGTGGTCAGCACATTCTCTGCTTCAGTCAAGTTCCCAGCCAGATGATGTGCGATCGCCAATGCTGTCCAGTTTTGTCGGAATGCCGGTCGGGCCTGAAGCATGGCGCTTCTGCTTTGAATGTAGCCCTGGTAATCCCGCATTTGCATCTGGAGGAGCGCGAGGTCACGTTGAATAGGCTGTGACTCTGGTTCCAACTTCAGAGCAAATTTATACGCTTTGATCGCTTCCTCATAGTTCTTTTCTGCCCGATACAGGAGACCGAACACGTGCCAGCAGACATGCGACTTCATGTCATTTTTGAGAGCCGTCTTTGCCAGCACAAATGCTTCCTCCAACTGTCCGAGATTGCTCATGATCAGAGCCTTCATAGCCTGCGTGTCGCCATGGTTGGGATTTTTGCGAAGAATTTGGTCCGCCGTCTTGATACCTGCAGCATGCCGTCAGCTGTCAATTTCATGCGCCTTAGCGTCATTGCAGTGAAATCGTAGCCAGACCTTTCTTGTACTGCTTGTTCTCATAGTGGCGAACCACTTGGCGGAACAGCGACGCGTCTTTGGAGCTCAATTGCTGAGGCATGGCGGGCAACCGCTTGGTCGTTGTGTCGGACGACTTGGAGAAGGCCAGGTGCTGTCGAGGTTCGGTGACTGTGCGTGACCAGCTAAGTTATGTGCGGGGAGCGACTTCCAGAGTAATAAGGCGCTAGCGACACAGCATATGAAGGCAGGAAGGAGGACAGGAGAGGACAACTATTACTGCGACTTGGTCGACAATTCCATGCTTATTGCACGATTCCTATCCTCGATTTTCACGGACTCAAGCCAACTGACCTGCCGCGTGGTTGTTCGGCGGCAGAACAAATAATTTATCCGACTCTTAGGCTCTCTGCATGCGTGACGTGCAGCAACCTCGACCACAATCATACAACGCCAAGTATATCTTCATGCGAGGTATCTTAAAGGGATTTATTTTTTCTTAATTTGCCAGTGCTACTGCCTCTCCTTCCTTAAAAAAGAAAAGTATAGTAGAGGGAAGTGATAAAAAAAATAACTATATAACATTGCTGATGCTTTTTTTTACCCATAGACCTGTGGAACCGCTTCTGGCATTGTCCATAAGCTCGACAATATATTGTTTTGCTTTGCAGTCCTGCAGTTTCATATTATCGATTCGACGCTAGCGCTTCAAGAGAATCTCATTTCTTCTTGCCGTTGATTATTGACACCATCAGTCATCTGATAGTTATTTTCTATACCATTCATGCCATGCAAGTCTCATCATATATGTACACATATTGGAGATTCGACGCTGTCACAGACCCGGTAACGTGTGCATCTCCTGTTCAAGCGTTGAGAGTAGATATCATTCAATCGTATTATACAAAGGGCCAAAAATGCTAAAATCTCTAGAAAATGTGCTCAACGTTTACCGGACGCTGCATCCTGACGCTCACGCCAGCGGTTGAAGGCGTGTTCCCAGTCCCCTGAATCATCGCATCTCTCAGCAACCAAGCCCCATGTCCGCGAACGAATGATCTGTTCGATGGTCCTTTCGTTCCGGATAAGATTTGCGAGTGATTCGGTCCGTGGCTCTCGAGGAAAGAACCGTGCAGAATAAGGGTCTAATCGTTCATCAACTACCCTTTCGCGCTCTCTCGCCGATTCCACCTGTCGCAGGATAAGGTCCGGATCCTCAGGATCTGGACTTGTGGCCACGCCGGCGCAATAGTTAAGTACGTCGGACCTCGTCTGCCACGAAGGGAAAAGTACGTTATTTTTGAACGACTCGCAGGCTTCAGGATCTACTTTCCGTTTGCCTGCAGCAGTTGCTTGTCGTGTGGCGGTGGAGGAAGGATCGAAGCCCGCGCGAGCCGGAGTCAGTAAGGCATTCAGATTCTGAGTGATCGAGTCATCTACAGAGGCTCTCGAGAGACGTAGGAAATCTGCACGTGTCCAAAAGTAACCGTCAATAGTGCTCTTCCATCGAGTCAGTTTGAATGGGGAATCGAAAACCTCTTAACACTCTCTCGTCGAAACAGAACTGCGGGCTCAGCGTCGGAGCAGTGGTCGAAGGCTGTTGTGACATCCTTCGACCAGCCGGTTGCTCCGGCTGTTTGGACTTTGGAGAACGTTGAGCCCAGAACCACTCCAGATTGACCGGCACGGTTTGGATAATCTGTATGAGCCAAAATGCGGGTGGCGCCGTTAAGCTGGAAGGAGCAGCACCAAGTTTCTCCAGGCCGCTGAAGAAGAGAAACAACTGCTATGCGCTCCTTAAGATATCAGATAGAGAAGAAGAGCTGTTGAATAGATCATAGATTATTTGCCAAAGGGAATGATTAAAGACCCGGAAAGTACCCATGGCCACCTCCGATGACCGCATCCGAATATGGATAGATTTCAAGGTCACGGGACGACGCGATTCTCAACGCGCGGTAACACGTGTTGGGGAGATCAGGTGCCTGCCGCAATCTAGCCAACACCGCATGTCTCCTTAACTGCTTTCTAGTCTTTCTTTTCATTTTTGTCCCCTCTAGTAATCATACACTACTCTGTGAAATATATGTACTGCAGTTATACTCAATTCAGATCCGCTGGTGAACCATGCCCGAGTTAGCAGAGGTCGCACGAATCGTGCATTTCATTCGCAAGCATCTTGTGGGAAAGACTCTGGCCAATGTGCAGACACAAAATGATGATATCGTCTATGGCAAAGCTGGGACCAGCGCGGCTGAGTTTCAGAAGGCTATGCAAGGCAAAAAGATCATCGGCGCTGGTCAACAAGGCAAATATTTTTGGATCACAATGTGCTCGCCTCCACATGCTGTCATGCACTTTGGCATGGCTGGCTGGTTGAAAATCAAGAATGCGGACACATACTACTATCGGACCACCAAAGAGGAAGACAAAGAGTGGCCGCCAAAGTACTGGAAATTCCTTTTGGAGACAGACGAAGATCCAAAAACGGAGGCTGCATTTGTTGATTTTCGAAGACTAGCGAGGATCCGACTGGTCGACTGTCCTGCAGATGACATTCGCAAATACAGTCCTCTGAAAGAAAATGGACCGGACCCCCTTGCGGATAAGGATGTCTTTACTGAAGACTGGCTATTAGAGAATCTCAGAAGCAAGAAAGTGCCAGTCAAGGCTTGGCTACTTGACCAAGCGAACATCAGCGGCATTGGAAATTGGATGGGGTAAGCTGCTATTAAAGTGAACTCTGGCAAAAACTTTTTCCATGTGCTGATATCTGTCAGTGATGAAATCCTGTATCATGCCAAGATACATCCTGAGCAGTATAGCAACACTTTGAGTGATGCTCAGATTAAGCAGCTATACTCGTCCATTAACTATGTGTGCACAACCTCAGTGGACGTACTGGCCGACTCAGACCAGTTTCCGGAGGACTGGCTGTTCAAGCATCGATGGAGTAAAGGGAAGAAGAATCAGCCTGCTGTCTTACCGAATGGGAATAAAATCGTCTTCCTCACTGTTGGTGGGAGAACTAGTGCCGTTGTGCCAGCCGTACAGAAGAAAACGGGCCCCGTCGCCAAGGACATCGCTGATGAAGATGTGGGCAAAGACGAGGATGCTAATGGGACGTCAGCCGGTGGTAAGCGAAAACGTGGAACTGTCAAGAAGGAAGATGACTCCGAGGATGATGAGACCACTGGCCCAAAACGGGCGGCGTCAAGGAAAGGCAAGACCGGGGGTGCTAAATCTGCAATCAAAGAGGAGGAGACTGATCCATCGCATGCTGAATCGACTGGAAGGAGGCGTTCAACCCGCAACAGAAAGTAGTTGATTGTTTCATCCACAGGGCGCATGGCGTTAGGGTGTGATTTATGTACTGTACAGGTCGGTATCGAGATCTTGGGTCTCGCTTTTCATGCCCCCTGTTTTTCTTAAAAGTGAGCTTTTTGCCCGCTGGGCAGAATCGAGATCAGGTTTCGGCGAGTTGAAGTTTGAATCAATTTCCAAGTTCTTATACCATGGTTCCATTCAATTTTCGATAGAAAACACCAAAATTCCCGTTCCCATCCTTGCCTGCTTTTAGATCGTCCATAACTGCGAAGCAAATGCTCTCCCACCAGCCTCCTTGGAACTCCGCCTCGGCAAAGACCTCCGACCAACAATCCGCGACTTCTTCTCGAGGATTCAAAAAGGCACCGCAACCAAACGCTCCTAAAACAAGTCTTCGATGTCCATTGAAAGCTGCAATCCGCAGGATAATCCGCATCTTCTCCTTCATCAATTCCCTATCCTGTGGATTTCTATATTTCGGGCGGGGACCCGAATTATCTAGGGGCGGCACACATAACGCCGCCATGCTAATGACACTAACAACGGGCAGCTCCTCCGGTTTCGTGAGATCCAACAAAGTATGCCCGTTTTGGAGGCTATCCCTGATGATGACCACTGTTGGAGAGTAAATGGCTTGATCGTCCTGCAGTGGATAATATCTCAACTTCAGTGTGAAGCTTAGACTGCTGCGGTAGCATAAAGCCTCCTCCTGGGCCAGAGCTCCATTGAGCCAGCCTCCACCGGCACTATGTGCATTCGCCATATTTAGCACGCATACGGGGCGTTTGTCTCGCACAGTCATGTACTGCTCGCACTTTCCGAGATTGATCGCCGTGTCGAACGTGTCGGCATCCAGGACTTTGATTTCTGCTGGGAGGAATCCAGGACAATACTTATGGTTGAGCTTTGGAGGGTTCGGCGGTTTGTAGAGGTAGCCATTAGGGGGTGCGTGAGGAAGCGTCTTCAAAATACCAGGGAGAAGCTGTTTTGTCTCTTGCGCTGTCTGAACGAGCTTTCGCCGTCTTTCCAGTTCATTAAGTGACTGCTTTCGCACCGGCTTCGATGCGTTTGAAACAGATATGGAGTCATTCCGTGAAATATCCTGGCTGTCTATTCCCTGAGACGAGGCTTCGTTGGTGTCGGCATTGTCACGCGACATCTGACGTCGAGAAGCATCTTGCAGGCTACTTTCCGCCGAACGTTTTCTCCGCTCTGGATACAAAAAGAAAGCAGACAATTTCGTCTGTGTCAATCCATCTCGCACATGTTCGGACATTATGTCCTTTTCCCTGGGATAGAGAGAATAGAGAACCTCCTGGGGAGGTGGAATCGAGGCTGAAGTCACCCATGGATGATGGCAGCCTGGCCGGCGTGTCGCGTGTCGGCGAGCTGTGCGGGGAAAGAGGGCGAGCGCGTTTTGTCCGGCAGAAAAATCTACAGCTGGAAGGCGGTGTGCTTATCAGTCCGATCACGGCGGGGCTTCGGCCTTGCCACAGCGAGAAGGCGAACCGGGGTGACAAATCCCTTTACACATTATTCAAATTGCAGGAAGAACTTTCCTGCTTTTTTTTTCTTAGGCGAAGAAATAGAATCCGGATAAGACAAAATCACCGCACGAGTCTGAGACTATTTCGAGGGATCCCGGCCTATTCGACAGCGATCGATATCAGCTGTGCTGTCGGTGACTTAGCAAACGGGATTCCTCGATTACCCTCTTTTCACCATGAGCGCCATTCTCTCAGCAGATGACCTCAACGACTTTATTTCTCCCGGTGTGGCTTGCATAAAGCCCGTCGAGACACTGCCGAAAAAGGATCCAGCTAGTTCAGAGGTAGGAGATGACTGATGGCCCTTCTCAAGTTTGCTTGTTCGAACGGAAGCTGATTTGTAATATACTAGAATCCGTACGAAGTGACGACGGAAGACAAGGTCCAACCCGAGAATTTACCACCAGCACAGATATCCTTGACTGATTGCCTGGCATGTTCTGGCTGCGTCACCTCTGCAGAGGCAGTCCTGATTTCGTTGCAATCGCACGCGGAGGTCTTGAATACGCTTGATGCCCATCCCGCGACACCCTTGACCATCCAAGATGACGGGCATGTGAATCTAAAGGATGCAGTTCCCAAGGAAGGAAAGATATTCGTTGCGAGCGTTAGCCCCCAAGTCAGGGCCAGCCTAGCTGCAACATATGGGATTTCGGAGCGAAAAGCTGGATACATGATCGACCAATTCCTCCGCGGCCCTCATGGTTTGCGCGCTGGCGGCAAACATGGCAATGGTTTCACCTGGGTGGTCGACACTAATATCATCCGTCAAGCTGTTCTGGCACTTACTGCGGAGGAGGTGCGAGAGTCATTAGAAAGTGCGAACTCGACCACTGCAGATACTTCTCGATTTCCAGTCCCAAAACGACCTATTCTGTCATCTGCGTGTCCTGGTTGGATATGCTACGCCGAAAAGACACATCCACACGTTCTGCCTCATCTATCACGTCTGAAGTCACCACAGGCTCTGGCCGGCACATTCCTCAAGACACTGTTGAGTCGCCTTCTCGACATACCTCCGTCTCAGATCTGGCATTTGGCGATCATGCCCTGTTTCGATAAGAAATTAGAGGCGAGCCGTGAAGAACTGACTGACATGACGTGGCAGTCTGAAGACGGCCTGGCGCATTCAGAGAAACAGTCTGCCACTCGAGACGTCGACTGCGTGATAACCGCGCGGGAGCTTCTCACGTTAGCATCATCCAGAGGGATCTCTCTTCCAGCATTGCCACTCAAACCTTTATCTTCGACATTTGCGCCTCATTTTCCAGATAAGACCGTTGATTCTTTTCTCTCGTCTCGCTCGCCATTTTCCAAGCAGACATCCGCCTTTGGCACTTCCGGTGGCTATCTCCATTACGTTCTGACCAGTTACCAATCTCGTCACCCGAACAGTCAAATTGTGACTCAGCGGGGCCGCAACTCGGATGTCGTGGAGTACACTTTGGTATCTGAAACTGGTGAACCGATATTGAAAGCTGCACGTTACTACGGTTTCAGGAATATCCAAAATCTTGTCCGAAAATTGAAACCTGCGCGCACCTCACGATTGCCGGGAGCAAAGACCATGACGGGCCCAGCCGCAGCTCGACGTGGTGGCTCTGGCTCCGGAGCTGGTGCGGGTTCAGGGCTTGATTATGCCTACGTGGAAGTGATGGCTTGCCCTGGTGGTTGTACAAATGGCGGCGGGCAGATCCGGATTGAAGACGCCCGCGAAGCGAATTCTGCACTCCAGTCTTCATCGTCAGATTCAACGTTTGACCAGCCGCAGAAACCGTCGCCACATGAGCAGCGGGCCTGGCTTGCCCGCGTCGATGAAGCATACTTCTCTGCAGATTCCGAGTCGGATGATTCTGAAGATGCAGTTTTGCAAGAATCTATCCTTGACATGGAGTCGCGAGTGCATGGCATAATGAACTACTGGTCCCGTACGAGTGGGACTCCGCTGGACAAACTGGTCTATACAACATATCGTAAAGTTGAAAGCGATGTGGGTAAGAATAAAAATGTGGGAGAGACAGCCCGTGTCGTCGAGCTTGCTGGCAAGATCGGCGGCGGCTGGTGATGAATATAATACCTTAGATATATTTTGATTGTCCTTTGTCTGTATACCCATTCGATCTAGACAGTGATTTATAGACTGATAACATGAATAGACATGTGTATAGTACAGTACAATAGTATCACAATCTGTAGTGTATTTTGTCAAATATTATTGAATGATGATGAGAATACATTCTCGTCCATAATAGCATTTAATGGCCCTATTATTATTACCTTGTCTGTTGAGCAATTAATAATACAACCTCTGTATGTGGGGGATATAGTATATATCCACAAACGGTTAGTGTGGGCAGGGTGGCGTGGGCGGTGAAAGAATTCTTCCATCCCGTTCTGGACTCGTACAAGCAGGGCATCATAATCTTCCGTTGTTTCATTCCGATTCTTCAGTTCTTCCAAACTAGTAACGCTCTGCGAACCCGAAGTAGTGTCGTTATTATCCTTCGTTTTATCCATCTATCTATCTGACGTATCTCGGTACAGTTCGCACATCGCATCTCACACATACTATCTACCTATCTCTCACCGATCTCTCGCCTACTCTGCCATCCAGTTCGGCTTCATCTCATACAAGCTCAGCCAAGCCCTGTCTTATCTAGCTGTCTCCAATAATAATAACCATGTCACGCGAAGCTTACCAAGTTCCTTCCCTCGGCGCCGGGCAGAACGCCTTCGGCGCGGGCGTGGCCCCTGGCATCGACCCTTCCAACCCTCTGGATGGACCGGCCACCACTTATGTCTGCGGCGACTGCAGCTCGCGCGTGACGCTGAAGCGTGGCGACCAGATCCGGTGCAAGGAGTGTGGGCATCGAGTGCTGTATAAGGAGCGGACGAAGAGGTTTGTTCCTTCCCTCCCTTGCTACGGGATTGTCTTTTATGTGAATGTAGCGGCTGACTGTCTCAAACAGAATGGTGCAGTTCGAAGCCCGATGAATGAATGAATGGATGAAATGGATATTGTGACGCTACTCTGATTGTTTATATTATTGTTCCTGGAGAAAATAAATAACCCTCCTTTCCTACGACTATGGAAATTTTTGGCGGTGTGTGGCGTCCAGAGTGGAAAACGGATAACATGCATTATGGCCACTGCAGTTCTGAGCAACGGACAGGGCGATGCGACCCTCCGAGGCTGAGGGTAGGATTGTGACTCTTCCCGCACCTCTGTTGCATTTGAAATGAGGACAGCGATGACAGGAAGAGGGCAGCCAGGTAGAAAAGTGGCCGCTTCATTTGTTAAGGCCTGTCTTTGTTGCCTTTTTTTCTATGATACCTAGGTCCTGCCAAAGACAGAAAAAAAAGGACAGAGAGAAATAGCCAATTAAAATAAATAGGATACCCTATCAATATCTGCAAGTAAATGTTCCGACATCCTTGTTCTTACATTTCTACATTCTTTTTCCCATTCCCTCTATTTGCCCTTATATTGCCCTTACAACCTGTTCGTAACCTCGATAAACCGTTCTAAACACTTCAATGCTTCGCCACTTTCGATGGCCCAGCGGGCCCTCCGGACCCCTTCCTTCCAACGTCCGCCACCAGGACCACGCTCCGTGATGACTTTACCGTCGTCCCCGGGGCCCATGTTACTGGTATCCGACTCGCAGATACCAGAAGTCACCAAAAGAGCGGCCACGTTCATAAGGACGAAGTGCAGGATGGGATCGTCGCGAGGCAGCTCGTTGCGCAGGATGCTCATGAGCTTCGCGGCGTTGTCCTTGGGCATCTTTCGGCTGTAGACGTCCGTCAGAGGATGAGTAGGTAACCCGAAATCTGACGGGTGAAGCTGGAACGTCTCCAACTTCACAAGGGTGCGCGGAGGAGCCTCGTCATCGCTGGTGCTCTCATCCTCGTCCTCCTTCTCGGAAGACGGTTTGAATGCTGGGTTGGGATACTCGGAGAGTCTCCAACAGTTTGTCTTGCCCGCGCAGCTGATCTCGTCCATGTCTTCTTCTCCGCAGACGATCAGCGCTTTCTTCGCTCCGCTCAGCCTCAGGGCCTCTGCAAAGACAGGCCCGAGACTCTGGTACGCCACACCCACCACACGGGCTTCCAACGCGAAGTCCACGGGGTTGGCAAGAGGTCCCATCAGGTTGAAGATTGTCCTGATACCGAGACCACGGCGCACAGGGTTGGCGTACATCATGCCAGGGTGAAAATTGGGGGCGAAGAGGAAGGCGTAGTTGGTCTCCTCATACACTTTGGGAAGGTTCCCTGCATTGACGGCAGTGATCTTCGGCGGAACGGGAGAGATTGCGGTCAACACATCAGCGGATCCTGAGAATGAAGTCTGAGCCCGGTTCCCATGCTTCGCCATCATCAGGAGTGGCGACGCTATGATTGAGGCGGTCGTAGAGATGTTGAAGGTGGAGTGTGAGTCACCCCCCGTGCCGACAATGTCGCACTGTAACACTTTATCAGCATCAATTGTTCAGTAACCGATGAGTGTCTAAAAAAAAAACTTACTAGTCCGCCTCTGTACAGACCCTCTTTTTTCCCACGAGCTCTGACTACACTTTTCAAAGAACTCTTCTCAACCTTGCTGGCAGCCTCCCTCATGCGATGCGAGCATTTTGCTATGACATCGGATTCCCGGTCTTTTCCCGTCGAATGTAGCAGGGTCAGCAGAGCTGCAGTCTGTATGACTGAGATCCGGTCCTCAAAGATGAGCGCGAATGCGGCCGCAATTTCCTCTGCAGAGACCTGGACTCCTGCCGTAGCGGGGTATGCCAGCCGCTGGAGGAGGGGTGTGATGGAAACGGGTTCCGGCTTGTCGTCGGGGGTTGGGTTGGCCATGGTTCCTTTCTGTTCCTGTTAATCAATTGAAATCCAGACCTGAAGCCTGGATTTTCCGGCTACATGCAAGTCAAGAAACGATGCCCAGGTCGGTTTCTCTGTCGTCTCTGACTTGGTGTAACACGTAGAGTGATCGGCTTACCGCAGTGGACGGCGGCAGAAACTGACCGCCCCCGTAGCAGAAGCCTTTCCTTATTGGGAGGTCCAAATCTCCGGCGCGAGATTTCTACAAAAACCCAGCTTTCCCCGAGTCGCCATTGCACCACCTTCCCCGTCGAGCCTCTGGATACTATTTTCCCCTTGTCATATCTTTTTTCTGGTATATACAATTGTATTTGATTCTTTTCCCCCTGGGCTCGGGCGCCAATGCCACCCCGGTTACGGATTCCATCTTCACAACTCTCTCGGACGCTCCGCCGGCAGAGAGTAGGAGGACCACAATATGAGATCTCCATCAGATGTGCGAGTACTGCTGCTGCTGCTGCAGCGACGCCAGGTCCATCGATGGACCAGATGAACACCTCAACCGCTCCCGCCTCTCAATTTCATCCCACCCAGCCCCCGTCCCATCGCCGCCCTGAAGAGCGCCGCTCACAGCTCCTTCGGCAATACACATCTCTCATCCGTACCTCACCCCTCATGGTGTTGTTTCAGCACAACAATCTCCAATCGATCGAATGGGTCGCAATCCGTCGCGAACTCAGTCTTGCGTTGCAGAAGGTCGACGAGCAGCTTGCGTCCGAAGGGCGTCGGCTGCCACCACTGGCGCCCCATATCAAGCTGCAGATCATCCAGACGAGGATATTCGAAGTGGCTCTGCGTATTGTCGAGTACTTCCGTCCGGATAAGGAGGAATTGGAGGCAAAGAGAAGGACAGCAGAACAGACCTCTGAAATCCCGTCTCGGTTTGACCCCAGAGACGATCCGACTCTGACACACGACCTTTCCCGCGCGGTCCACGATGCGGTGATGTACAAGAAGGGGAAGCACGAGCTCTCGACCCTTCTTGTGGGACCGATAGCGGTCCTTTCCTTCCCCAACGTGTCGCCGGAGCATCTCAAGGCGGCCCTCTCGGTCCTTGCTCCCAAGGCCACCGGTTTCCCGGTCCCGTCCCGCAAGACGAACCCGGGCTGGCACGAGCAGACTGTGCAGGATGGTCTGCAGAAGCTGATGCTGCTCGCCGCGCGGGTCGACGGCAAGGTCTTTGATCTCGACGAGACGAAGTGGGTCGGAAGTATCGAAGGTGGCATCGACGGTCTGCGGGCGCAGCTCGTCGCCGCGCTCCAGAGCATCAGTGCTAGCGTTACAAGTACCCTGGAGGGTGCTAGCAAGAGTCTTTATCTCACACTGGAGAGCCGGAGGAGCGTGCTGGAGGAGGAGCAGAAAGGTGGGAAGGAAGAGGGTCAGTCATGAGATGTCTCTCACACATCACGCTTTTTTCATCTTTTTTACATAATGTACAATAAGACAGATAGTGTGTGTTCTCCTAGTCAAAATTTTGCACCTTCTTGAATTGGCAAAGAATGATGTCTGTATTATCTAGGGATATAAAAATGAAAGAACAGAAATCGTTTCCTCAAAAAACCCGCTACTCTCGCCGGGTTGAGAACAGACCGAGCAGACATTTTTCTGGTCTCGTCGAATGTGCCCAGTTTATGCCTAGCTCTCTCTCGATTTCAGCTTCGAGTTCATGCCCACGATACACCGAATCAGGTCCCAGTCTCCGTCCAATCCGACCCAATCTGTGACCAAAATGCCGGTGGACCAGTCGCCGTCCGGGTTCTCGGGATGCCGCCGGCAGAGATAGTCGACCGTGGCCGGGTTCAGCTTGGCCGCGATCTTTTCGGGCCAGGTCTTTTTCTTCCAGAAGTTGCTTGCGCTGAGGAAGTTGATGAAGAACGGATACCGCTGGTCCCAGGCGTCACGGACGCCGAATGGATATCGGTTCACAGCCGCGCGTGCGATGTGCTCGGTCACGTACTGGATCTTCGTCCCGATGTTCTCGGTTTCCAAGACCTCGTAAAAGTCTTGGATGCAGAGTTGTCCGCTCGGGCAGGTAGCGTTGGGGGTGTTGTCCGCCCAGCCACCGCCGTCGATTCCCCAACCGCGTCCGCCGTGCTCCTGCTTCAAGCGGTCCTCGATGTTGAAACGGCGCAACAGCACAATCTTGCCGCGAACCTCGCCCAGCGTCGGGATCCTGGGTTCGGTGTACCAACGGCTCTCGGGTTGAGCGTAGTGGTCACGGAGAATCCTGCTGAGCTGCTCATCCGTCGCCTTGCCAATGCCTTCCCGCTTCAGGGAAATGATGAGCGTTTCGGACGGGTTACGGTTGAGGAAGTCATCGACATCCTGCATCAAGTCCCGGAAGTACTTGCTGCCCGTCAGGGAGATCGGGAATGCACTGTGGACCAGGGCGAGCTCATCTCTGTCGGGGTCATCGGGATGTTGAGGCTGCACCCGGATATCAAAGAAGCGCACCCCGTTCTCCAATTGCTCACGGGGGCTGACCGCCTGACAACGAACTGACGGCGCAGCAACGTAGCAGGTGGGCGAATTGTGCGTGCCGGGGATGGAGAGAGCGGAGAGCAGGATATCATCCCTCAGCTCTTGCATCCACGCATTGGGCTTGGACGAGGCGAAGATGGCCAGGTGCGATTCGGGTGTCACATAGATGCCCGTGAATCTGAAGCGGGGGTTGTCGCTCAACGCCCTCATCTCCGCGGACTCGGTGGTCGGTACGGGGATCTGAATCTGGTGTCTCTCCCCTTCCGCTTCCAACGTCAAACGCAACCGCTCCTTGTCAGACTTGTCAAAGGCCCGGATGTCGGTTCGGACGCTGCTAAAGGGTTCCACGCGGACATTGACATCCTGATGAGCGAATGGACGCGCATCTTGGTCCAGAGGCTCCGCCGGAGTGCCTGTACGGGTGACGTTGGTCACCATCCGGGTGAAGTTCTTGGCCATAGTATTGAAGCCCCGGGATTTCTCCGGTCGAGAGAAGCGCTCGACGAGCTTCAGCTCGACCGGAGTTGCGCTGAGGTTGCGTATGGTCAAGAATTCAGCAACCATGGTGGGGGAGGTTCTCTTGTCGATTCACTAGTAGCAACAACAGCGAAATCAAGCGATAGAGACGGAGAGCGCGAAAGCGAGAGAATATTCACACGCTTACCTCAGAAGAGAGTGCTACCCCACGATGAAAATGGTTTACGCCGGACAGATATAGATTCGGTCGTTCCATTGATTTTTGATCGATCTACCACAGTGCCTCCCCGTCCGATAGATTTAAGGTGGAGATCTGGGCTGAGATCGGCGCAGCAGCCTCAGCCCCCATCGTGGGATCGTGGGAGAGACTCCAGCAACGCAATTGCGCAAAACGAGTGGCTGATGCGACGCGCTTCTTGCTTCTTGGCGATCTTGGAGAAGCTCACACGCCCGAGCAGGTGCATCTGCGTGTGAGAATCGAGCATCGGGATGGGCTGATTGCCTGCAAAGCCATGGCCCACCTGCTCGTTTTCCCTATGGTAAGGCTGATTGGCTGTCAGTGGGGCACGAGTCTTGACGTCGTGGACGGAGTAATATTATTACTCTGTACCACGCCGCGTCTTGGTATGCTCTTCGCCTTGCTGCATGCGATATCACATCATCTACCGCGTACAAACAATGATCAGGGTTGCGGTGAAAGCCCGCCGCAATATGTTTATCCTCTGAACTATGTATATATGTCCTGACTGCGCATGTAGCCATGGAAAAGAGCAGCATGGACCCTTGGTTCCCAACTTGTGGAATCTACCCTCCCCTACCTCATTCAGTGGATAGTATACAGCTCAACAGCAAATTCAAATTCGCTAGGAATCCAATTTCTCTGTGAAATGACCAACGCGGACATCTGCCAATAGTCTGCCCCTTGCCCCGCACCACGTGAAGGCCGGGGAGGACTCAGACAGATAAGCTCAACCCGATCCCTCTACATAAATTTTTAACAAAAATTCTCCTGCAGACAGTCGCAACCTGTTCCTCAGTCTTTTTATCTACTACGGAGTAGAGTGTACTTACATAAGCCAGAGGTGGCGCCTCTCCCAGCAGCCATTCCAGTGGCGGGATGAGGGTGGAATCACGTGCGCGGGCCGATAGCTGTTATTCTCGGCTATCGTCGGCGGAGAGATAACAAAGGTCCTCTCTCCGCAGTCAGGAACCCAGACGCAGGACCGGCCACACGGTACATAATGCTGTTATCCCGCCTTTTCGCCTTCTTCTCCTCCCCTTCCGTTTCCTCTCCATAGCCAGGGTGAGTGATTGAATAAAAGGATGGGCATCTTACGCTGCAGCAGGAGGCTCCTCGCCTGCTCCGTTAACCGGCCCTGGCGCGGCGGTCATGCAATTGCGCCGCTGGTGGTCGGTGCATCTGGTGGCTTCGACCGCCGACGCGCTTTTCACGGCTCTCCGGCTTCCTGGGCTATCAAGTCTCAGATCCTGAAAGATGTTGGAGAGGGTGAGTAGCAATATTCATTGATTATGAATGCCGGATTTCCCTGATAGCCGCCTACTAATGTACGGTAGGAATCACGGAAGTTCAGATCATCCAGTGGTATGTCGAAGAGGGCGCCCGCGTGGAGGAGTGGAAACCGCTCTGCCAGTACCAATCAGATAAGGCCGTTGATGATGTATGTTGCTTCAAGCACGTTCAATGATGTGCTATTAACCATTATCTCTCTTTCAGATCACTTCGCGATACGAAGGTGTCATCAAGAAGCTTCATTTCCAAGCAGATGACACTGTCCCAACGGGGATGGTATGAGAGGTCCCACTCCTTGGTAGTAGTATATGGGCGTCTGGAGCATGTACTCACCCAGTCGATAGGCACTGTGCGATATCGAAGTCGAAGACGGGAAGTATCCAGACGACAATCCTCCGACCACGACGACGGAGGAACCCGCCACAGCTGCCCCTTCGCAGCCGCAGCCTGAAGCCGAGAAAACACAACCAGCAAGTCCTGAACCGGCAGCACCATCGGAGGATAAGAATAGATCCAGATATGCTACGCTTGCGACTCCAGCTGTCCGCGGTCTGTTGAAGGAGTTGAATGTCAATATTCTTGACGTCAAGGGCACGGGCAAGGATGGACGAGTTCTTAAAGAAGATGTGCTGAGATATGCAGCGGCGCGGGATCAGAAGACAACAGACGCTCCCCCATCGACGACGAGGCCGGCTGTCGAGGTTGACGCACAACAGACTGAACAGGTTGTGCCTCTAACGCCGATCCAGTCGCAGATGTTCAAGACCATGACTCGATCACTGAGCATTCCACAATTCCTCTTTACGGATGAGCTTAACCTTGACGCCCTTTCGGCGCTGCGGCAGAAGCTAGCCAGCGATCCCACCAACCCTCAGAAAATCACGTCCCTCTCCTTCATCGTCAAGGCGGTCTCCCTGGCCCTCGAGCAGTACCCGCTGCTGAACGCCAAGGTTGACACGACCGACCCCAATAAGCCGAAGCTGATCATGCGCAGCATTCACAACATTGGAATTGCAATGGACACACCCCAAGGGTTGATCGTGCCCAATGTCAAGAACGTCGCGGCTCGATCGATCTCGGACATCGCCGCGGAGATATCCCGGCTGAGCGCACTGGGGAAGGAAGGCAAGCTCACGCCGGCCGATTTGGCCGGCGGGACGATTACGATCTCCAACATTGGAAATATCGGAGGAACCTACGTGTCGCCGGTCATCGTGCCGAACGAGGTCGCAATCCTGGGGATCGGGCGGTCGAGGACGCTTCCCGTGTTTGATGAGGCGGGCCAGGTGAAGAAAGCAGAGCTCGTCAACTTTAGCTGGAGTGCTGACCACCGAGTCGTGGATGGGGCCACCATGGCAAGGATGGCCAACAAGGTCCGCGAGTACGTTGAGTCTCCGGACAAGATGCTCCTGAAGTTGAGATAGAAAGGAGCAGTTTTCAAAAAAAAAAACGCCGTATATGTCTGTACTTCTATATTAGACCTCTCATGAAGGATGGAAATGCCCACATGTCACACCCTTGACCTTGTCTGTAGATGCTGCTGCACTTTTTCTCTTTCAGCGCCAACAAGTTAGTAGAATCCACAAGATATATGTTAGAGCAAAGATATTATTTTCTTAATCTGTACGTATGTACATACAATGCAGCAAGAATGATATAAATAACAAGTAGATGAGACGCTAAGTAATAGATGGCCCATGCATAACCGGCAGACCAAAAAAATAAATTGTTCATAAAAAGGATATATTACTTTTTGCTAATCAAAAATACACAGTTTATCCCATCACTCCTGTGCAGAATGCATTCCGAAGAAACCAGGTAACCGAACGAATACTAAAGAACGATAGCGATAGCGTGATAGATATATCCAGCCCATGCAAATGCTTCCGTCTCCAAGACGCCTGTCCTTCGCGATCAAGAACCCAGAATAAAAGGGGGAAAAAAAAAGTAGAATAAAAAACAGAAAAAAAAATGCCACTCATTGCTGTTCGTATTCAGCAAGTTTGGCAGCCACAGCCGCCGAAACCCTCCTCTGCACCTCATCAGGAGGAGCGGCTACGTCGACAGTGAGGACATCTCGCTCCGGCGAAGGGTCCTCCAATGTCTCCACCTGCGAGTGGACCATGCTGCTCTTCATATAATGGCTCTTTCGGTCGTTGACTCGCTCCATCAGAATCGACTCGTCGGCTCGCAGGTAGATGAAGTGAATTCGGACGGATGGGTGGTCGTAGGCAGCAACACGCATGACATCACGGTACTTGTGCTTCAATGCCGAGCAGGACATGATCACACCCCAGGGAGGGTTGTAATTGTTGGCCGGTGACGGCGACAGGATTTCGGTTGCTGCATCTCGGAGAGAAATGAGCCAGTCCCACCGGTCCGCATCCGTCAGGGGAATCCCGTTCCCCATCTTGTCCTTGTTGGATTGCGGATGGAACTATATGGCAAGGAAAATCTCCAGGTCAGCAGCGGCACCAATTGAATTCACCAGGGAAAAGGCGAAGGAAATCCGGCCTTTTGCTACAACTTGCGACGGGGTAAGATGAGACACTTACATCATCGCCTTCGAGGAAGGGCAGCCCAAGCTCCTTCTCAAGGCCCTTTGCGACAGTAGTCTTGCCACAACCGGCAGGTCCCGTGATAATCCAAATGTGTTGCAACCGTTCTGGGCTCTTCCCCTCTCGCGGCCTGGTCTCCATGTGGTCCTTGAACGCAGCTTTGCCAGCAGGGGCACGGGAGAGACCGACGACGGTAGGGTCGATCCCAGTCGTGGGTTCGTCGTTGGCCGACAACATTGTGACGATGGAAGGATCCGAAAGGGGGTGATGAAACTCTAATAAATCTTCGTCTGCGGCTGCGACGCCGGGATGACGTGTAGAATCACTGTTCACTTGATTGTTTGCGGTATAGTAGAAACAAAGAAGACGTGGAATATATAGTGGCGGACGGGAAGTATATCCCGCAGTAGGTTTTCCAATCAGACCAGGACTGTCAGGACGAGCAAGCAACCTGGCTGACCGCTTATATACAGGGCTCTGTCCCTTGATGAGATGCAGAAAGGGAAAGCAGAAAAGAAGCCACAGGGGCGGAATCCGGTAATAGTCACAATAGTCACAATTATTGTTAAAGGATTGCCAGTGGAATTATTGGGGCCCACAATACCGCAACGGCGGTTCTTGAAAGCCCAGTGGGGGAGATGCAGGGACGGATTCCCCGACGGTCTGGTAAGGGGGTGGACGGCGCGGGGAGGCTAACAAGAAACCTGGGACCGATGAGATCTTGGGCTGGATTACTGTACAGTACTCTGTACATGCATCCGCCCGGAGGCTGAAAGCAGGTCGAGAACGGTCCTTGGAAGGCTCGTAAGACGGAGCTGCTCCTGCTGGATTTCAGGACCACAGACGATCGAGGGCACGGGGCATTTAACATCGGGAGGAGGCAGGCACTGGGCCTAAATAATTAGTCCATCCGTCAATCCATGAGACATGCTCATGTTTCTGCCAGTGGATCTTCTTGCTGGCGGCCCTGGCAGGAGAAATTGGGCTTTCGACTGCGTGGTCGTCTCATGAAGCGAATGGGCGTCACGGCGTTACAGGCGTGTTCTGTGGGCTGACGTCATTTCGTCAGGGATCTGGCCAGCCAGAGGCGCTAGCGCCGTCGGGGATGAGTCCCGGGGAACGGTGTCGATACGGCGGCGTACCGTCTCAATACGCTGTTACCGCGGTACAGGGCCTGCCTTCCCCCACGCTAGTCTGTGTCGGGGAGGAAGAGCCGTCACGACTCGGCCTCAGAAGAGCATGGAAGGAAACGGGCATCGCAGCAACTCCGAAACGCCCGCTGGCCCTGCTCCTGCCCGCTTCGGGCAGCCAGTAGGATCGGAAGGAAGCAACAGGGCGACTTTGCGGGGAAGGGACGTGACCTGTAGCCATGTCGGATGGTTGTCGGAGCTGTTGTACTGCTCACAGGGCATCTGCAGCAGGGGTTTCTGATCAGTCCAGTCGACGAGAGTGTGGGGAATGCATCAATGTAGCGGGTTAAAGAATGACCCGATCAGTCCGGGCAGCAGTCCGTGCTCCAGAAGGAGTGCATACGGGCGAGGACCAGGGGATGGTCTCAATAATCAGTTGCATCCAGGATGGAAATCACTCACTGCAGACGGAGGTTTTATGGAGAATGGACTGCTCAATAGCCGGGATGGGTCCAATCCGCCAGTTCGGAACTGGTCGTGTGCCTGATGCTTGGGCGCCTCACGTGTGGCAACGAATCACGTCGAAAGTCGGCAATTGACTTGACACGCGCTCGGAGGCCGCTCGGAGGAGCCCAAACCGAGCCTTTGACAGCAACAAAGAAGCCGCCGGTGTGACCAGTCGCCAGTCGACACAGTCAGCAACTGAGGGGACCCCGGCAGAACTAACACCCTGTCGCTTCCCGAGTCACGAGGTCAGCAGGTGGCTGCAGGTCAACCAGTGCCATTGTGGCCAGCATGCTATCTTATGCCGCAGGGACATGCACATGAAGCTCTTTCAGTATTGGACTTTGGGCTGCGCCTCAGTTAAACTGCGGAAAGTTTGCCAAATAAGAACAGTTAGTACAGTAATAGTTACCCTTCTAATCAATTACACGATTGATGGACTTCATGGCAGACATCATGGTCTACAACTGTATTCTGTCCGGTCATGATTTACGCAAATCTGCCATTCGAGGAGATCCAAGACGTATCTACCAGAGATGCTCGGGACGGCACAATCGAATATGCCAGTAGTCTATTATTAATATTACTCGGAATACGGAGTCTAAGGACGAAGTTTAAGCTTCTTTATACGTACTCCACCCTGCCGTAGATAAGCAACCGCATATAGTACGAAGGATAGATAGAGTACGTACCTACTTCGTAGATAGTACGTATTTCCTACATAAATAGCTTCGTCCATGGAACTCAGTTGACACGGCAGCTAAGTGTTTCAGTTGATAGCTGCACAGTCGTTAGCGTGTGGAGGATACGGTCGATTATGGCTATGACGATGCTATGGAGTACACTCTTTCTACATCTTCATCCCATCCAAAAATCCCAGGGCCAGTGGTTTGTCTCTCATCCTGAAAAGCGACTCAAAGTCGATATAGAGTCAAATACCCTATAGTCATGAAGAAGACGTGGTCGCAATATAGCCGATGAGTTAAGATGTAGTTCAGCGTTGATCTGCTGTGGCGGGGAGAGCTAGTATGATTACGTAACACGCCACGCTCATGCTCCCAGCGTAGCTCCAGGCAGTCAATAATCCAATCAATCAATCACAAGAAAACACAACAGAACTGCCCGCTGCGACATGGCCATTCGTGCATGCTGAGTGGATTTGGACGAGATACGAAGACCGAACCGAGACGAGTGATTTTGATTCCCTTCTTTTGATGTACGATGGCTCCGTTCTTCTTCTCCACCCCCGTCGACATCGACATCGTCCTGGAAGATAGCGATGAGCGGCAGACCGTCGATGTCAAGCTCGACAAGGGCCGTCGAGAGAAGTGCCCCCTTTACTTGGATGGAGAGTCGGTCAAGGGCGCGGTGACCGTTCGCCCCAAGGATGGGAAGCGGTTAGAGCACACGGGGATCAAGGTGCAATTCATCGGGTCGATTGGTACGATCATTTGCGAATAGCCCAAGCATCAACATCACTGCCCCATTTGCTTTTCGCGCAGCGTCGCATCTGCGAGATTCTTGAATTTCGTGACCCTTTCTTTGATTTCATTTGGGCGCATTTACGAAACTTCTTCGCTCTTATTTACTAACAATGCATCCACAGAGATGTTCTACGACCGCGGTAATCACTACGAATTCCTCTCCCTTGTGCAGGAGCTCGCCGCTCCTGGAGAACTGCAACACCCGCAGACTTTCCCTTTCAATTTTAAGAATGTCGAGAAACAGTACGAGTCCTACAATGGTATCAACGTGAAGCTGCGATACTTCGTGCGGGTCACGGTCTCGCGGCGCATGGCAGATGTCATCCGGGAAAAGGACATTTGGGTCTATTCGTATCGCATGCCGCCCGAGACCAACAGCCCAATCAAGATGGATGTCGGAATCGAGGACTGCCTGCACATTGAATTCGAGTATTCGAAGTCGAAATACCACCTCAAGGACGTCATTGTCGGTCGAATATATTTTCTGCTGGTGCGGCTGAAGATCAAACACATGGAGCTGTCCATCATCCGACGGGAAACGACAGGCGTGGCCCCCAACCAGTATAACGAAAGTGAAACATTGGTGAGATTTGAGGTAAGGCGACGACTAAGCCTCCAAGGACCTGTGAAGGAGATGAGACTAACAATCAACTAACAGATTATGGACGGGTCTCCGTCGCGAGGTGAGTCTCATTATTAACCTCCAGGGTACATCCAGCGTGAAGAATACGCTGGATGTCCAGTATTTCTGTAACCTTTGTGAAGAAACTCGTCTGATGGTCGACAGGTGAAACGATTCCTATTCGGCTGTTCCTCGGTGGATTCGATCTAACCCCGACCTTCCGCGACGTGAACAAAAAGTACTCGACGCGATACTACCTCAGCCTAGTGCTGATCGACGAAGGTGAGTACGAGGCATTCCGTTCTTTGTTTCCGTTTTTGGTTTCGGAGCACGCGTCATTTTATCTGCCCTGCAAAGATACCGTATCTGTTTCTTTCTATGACGCATGTGTGCCCTATCAGTCGGGTTACCGGTATACCGGCCCGGCAGTGTTTGTCTCCCCTTTTCAATAGCCGACGGCTTTTGAAACAGGAACGATACGGTAAAAAACACGGGCATTGTTACCCCGTGGATTCGCCCCCCACGCTAACCGATCTCTTCCGTCTCCCCGGCGCCTACAAGCTCCAGCTTTACTCCTTATGCAATATTCCTGTATTTTTTTTCTTACCCGTCTATTCGAACCCTGCACTATGTGAAGAGTACTCATTTGCATGAGGGTCAAAGCCAAGATGACTAACCTGCATTTCATCTGTTTAGATGCCCGTCGCTATTTCAAGCAATCTGAGATCGTCCTATATCGTCAGGCACCCGAGATCGCAGCAACACCTCAGGTTGCCCAACAGCAGCAAATCCAGCAACAACAAACCCAGCAAGGCGCAGTGGGGGCTAAGAACTCTCAGCATCATCAAGCGCAACAGCAAGCCGTGGCTGCTGGTCCTGCATAAGCAGGTTCGAAGAAATCAAATCTGCTTACTTCCGACTACTATCCCAACTATCCCAACTAATGAATGAAAGTTCTTTGGTTTCTCCCCTTGTAAGGAAGGGTTGGATGCGTGTCATGACGTGTTTATTTTCTTTCTTTTCTTTGTTCATACCTATATGTTACTATTCTATGAAATCAATTACCCTGTCTTCTTCTCTTCCTTCTTCCTCAGAAAGCTCTACTATATCCATCCGTACATACATATAAGAGTTAGTCATGAAACAAACAATCGACGATTTCTTGTCGGGCTTGTCGTGTTGTATTGTACGGAGAACTGTTGTAAGTAATGCACTTTAGAATCGTGCTATTCATCTCTATATGCTAGATTTTTTTTTTGCAACCTCTGTGATCATGTTTTATTTCCTCAAATAGTAATTACCAAAATTACAAAATTCTCCGATTTCTCTCTCCTCTCTTTTTTTTTCGTCTTTTCTTACTTTCTCTCCTTCAGTTCATAGTTTGGATTCAGTAGAAATTTATTGATTCATTCGTATTGTGAAACTGGTACATAACTGATCTATCAAAAAAAAAACCCAAAAAAAAAACGAAAAAAGACGGCGATGAAGGGGAAAGAAGCCAAGTAAAAAGAAGGGAAAGAAAAAGAAAAAGCATGAGACCAGCCCGCTTCTTCCATGTGTACCGATAGATAGACAGATAAATTGTCTGCAGACGTCTCTACATCCATACATATATCTCTCACGGACCCTAAACCCTCACTCTTTCTCTGACGGTACAGAGATACTGTACATACATACATACATACGAACAAACCATCTAATCACTCTTCTACACTATCGCTGTCTTCGTCTTCTTCTTCAACCCCAGAGCAATCCCCGACTTCATGCAAGACCTTGACCAGAGCTTCCAGCACTCTGCCATCGTTTTCCCTCCCTTTCTCCTTCCCGGCTACCCGGACCGCTTTCACGACGAGCGGGTACACCCAGCCGAGATGTTTGCGGTAGCGGAGACGACCGAGACGAAGGCTGCTGCTCTTTTTTGGATGGGGGGAAGAAGAATCATTGCTTGCGGCGGCGGCTGCTGCTGTTGCTGCTGCTGCTGCCTCCGGCCAGGCTGGTGCGTCGGGGATCGCGGCGGGCTCGCTCTTCAGCTCGATCATGCGGCGGAGAAGGTGCAAGAGTTCCTTACGGGCGGACGTTGGCTGGGGCATCAGGCCTCGGAGCGGCTGGTCGGCGATGTAGGATTTCAGAGGCATGGAAGCGCGAAGGATCAGGTAGGGGGAAATGGACCGCGCGAGGGAAATGCGTGAGGATACTGAGGAATCTGAATCACGATTCCCTTCACTGTCACCCTGCTGCTGCTGCTGCTGCTTGGACACAGATGCGGTCGCGAGGTCAAACATCGTGTCGATGAGTACATAGGCGATCTGTGACCTTGCAGTCGGGGAAGGATCGTAGGTGCGACCTCGACGGACTTTGTACAGACCTCGAAGCGGCTCCTCTTCGAGTGCTTTTATCGGCAGGTCGGTCCTCTGCGGAGGATAGATGAGCGTTGACTGGAAGAGCGCCCATGCAAAGTCTCGACGCAGCCGGTCGGGAATGTTGGGAGATCCGAGAGACGGGATGATGAGGGAGATGAGCCGATTAAACGCTGAGATGTCAAAACTCTCGTCAGAGAGGATCGTTGACATGGGAATTCCCAGCTCAACACAGCCCTTCGCAGACACGATGCCCCGCGTGATGTCCACAACGCAGCGCCAAAATCGCGAAACCTCCGGCTGCTGGGATCCGTCGTACCGACTTTCCACGTAGGGCACTGCAACTCGGAGGATGTCCAAGGACGCTGTCGTGGCCTTACGCCAAAGAACGGGTTCGCGATCCTTCCCACGCCACTCATACTTCTGGAGGATAGGATTGGCAAGGTGCTCCAATGCGGTAGTCAGAGAACCATTGGTGAAGATATCCCTCTTGATGCCAAAGTCTGCAATGTACCAGCTTAGCACATCAATGGAACTCTTTGAAAATGCGACAAACGTCGGCCGGCTCCTATCCCTATCAGGCGCCCATTGAGACAACGCAGCGTCGGCGAAATCAGCAAGACATAGAACAATGGCAGGTTGAGAATTCTCCATATCCAAACAGATGGCCTTGATGCACTGAGTGATCAATTCCTGGAGAGCAGATTGATGATCGACGTCGACGGAGTATCGTGAAGACACAGAATTCCAAATCGCAGCCCTCATGTGCCGCAGCACTTGTTCGATTTGCTCCTGCGTCAGCTCCTCTTTCGACAGTCGATATATCTGTTGAAACGAACGGAAATACGCCAGCAGGGCGTCTTGGTTGGGACTGTCCATGTTCAAAGAATCTTCGTCGAGCGCAGGATGACCATTTGCCCATAGCCACCACGCTGACCGGACAGCCTCCTTGCTGAGGGTGGTCGACGTTTGCACTCGCGCAAGAATGTCGCACAGGCTGGAAAATGCTGCCTCAGTAAGCTCGTAGATGTTGACCTGGACGAGGACATGGAAATGTTGAAGCAGTCGTTTCCATGATTCGTTAAACCTGTCATCTTGCACGATGGAATCAAAGAAGTTGGCGATCAGGTCAGAACATCCTTTGATCATGACCACCGCTGTTTCTACCCATGCTTTCGCTTCGTCAGACTCGCTAGGTTTGCTAGTCGCCGTCACATTGAGAACTTTCGCTTGTACGTCGTCGATCATGGCAAAAAGGACTCTATTTAAACACAGATGCCATGCTCTGGGTGAAAGCTGTTGGCCGTATGCATCCAGGATCCGCAAAAGGGTCCGGATTGCACTGTTTCGGATTTCAGACCGACCATCTGTAGTGAGGTCTACAATCCGTAACAACAGCAACAGCCATAGAGAGCCACGAGAAACGCGATTATCCGCATCTTCGGCAAGCTTCGAAAGTGTTTCCTCGCTTACAGAGGTGTCGATCGTGTCTTCGATGGAGAACTGGCCAACCTGACCTTGGAGAAAGTCGGACACATTCCAGAAAAACGTCGTCGTCGTGAGCGAAATGTTGAAATCTTGACTCTGCGATGCAAAGTTGGAAAAGGAGTTCACCAGATCCAAAAGACATGTAGGTGGAAGGAGGAGAAGAAAATCGGATGCAATCAACTGGAGGGAGCTATAAGCTGCCCGAACCAGTCGCGGGGACTTCGCTGCTAATCTACGGGACTTTGGTCGTGACTCCAAGGCCTGCTTTTCATCTTCGCTCTTGGGAAGCTGCTCCTCAAACACGCTGGATACTAAGTCGAAGACAAGATCCCAGCCAGCAGTGAATGATTCTCCGTGCTGCTCTAGGATAGTCTTCAGCGTATCAAGGGCCTGCTCATGAACGTCAATATCAGCCGTAGAGGACGAACTTCTCGATCGCTGCTCATAGAGAGAGACAATCTGCGACTTCAACGTCTGAAGATTCCTGAGCTGTAGCTGGTTGCGTGCTGGCTCATTCTCCAGGTTTCCCTGCTTCATAGTATGGAATATTATATCGTTAAGTACTTTGCTAGCCTTTAAGCGGAGGCTTGGACTAGTCTCGCCGTTAACAATGATGGCAATGAGGCTAGTAGTTAAAATATTCCAGGCACCGTCTGCGCCCGTGTTTACGGCAGAGAACCGGCCGAGATTCGACCTGGCCAACTCACTCGTTTTCTCCAGAACGAAGTTCAACTCATCGTCTTGTATTCTGGACTTTCCAACGGCCAATGAAATGCTGCGTGTGTTTTGATGAACTCGCCCCATACGCCGAGGAGTCTGGGGGGAGAGCACGGGCGAAAGGGTGTTCGATGGTGTTTCCGGGGCACTTTGTTCGGCACTGTTTGAAAGATTCAAGAGCGCACCCAAGATAGCCTCGAATGAACTGTCAGGATAGTCTGCAGTGCTTTCGAACATTTTGGAAGCAGCTGCTTGCACTGCAACAATCTCAGCACCCAGGTTTGCTTTAGGAACATCTGATCCACCAAACGCATTGCTTTCACCATTGCTGGTCGCATTGGCACTTTGCTTCGAAGCAACGACAGCAGATACGTTGATCACGAGGTCCGCATTCTGGAGCGTCTCAAGGATGATATACCAAGCAGGCTGATCCAAGATTGGTCCTAAAGCAATACCAAGATTCAAAAGAGCACGGAGGCATAGGAGATTCCTAGTACTCAGGGTTGCACGAACATTGTCGAAGGAAACCCTGGGGGTCTCTGTAGAAGCCTGAGAGGCAACTGTCGGCTCCGTTCCGTGGACTGTGGTATCCGGAGCCTCAGAGTGCTGGGCTTCAGATCCGGCCGTGCTCACGCGGCGCTGGGGTCCGGTATTCGCACCATCTATTGGCATTGAAGCTTTACCCAAGGTTGTAAGAAATGCGTCTCGTGCCGTAGACTGTCTAAGGAGGCCAGCCACATGAGTCAACTTTTGGAAGGATCGGACTAGGTTGTGGTAGAAATCAGCATCCAATGCTGCGTAAAGGAATGTGGAGCAAGTTGCCAGAATAGCAGGCCAGCACGATTCAATGATTCCAGCGCAAGCCCTGATCCCAGCCTGTTGAGGATGATCTTCCAGATCCAGGGGATTGAGCGGTACGGTCTGCCTTTTGGAATCGGCTGTTTTCCATGAATCTGTCCTCTGCAGTTCCCGAGAGCTTCCACCAGAAGGGGATTCTCGACCAGGTGCCCCAAGACGGTGCTTCCGCTTGCTTTTTGTGTCCGGTACAGTCAAGGGGAGTATGAATTTGGCAAGACCCTCGGACAAAGCACTAATGCAATTGAGAACGAGACAGTAGATGTACGTTTCTGGAGGAGGAGGAGGCTCTGACTTGTCGAGGAGCTCAAGATAAGGAGTCCGGACAGTGCTCCACTGGCCGCTAATTCCGGTCACATTGTCATCTGCAGAATTCACAGCAGCTCCGATGACACCCGCAACACCGCCAGCTTCTAACGTAATTTGATCTTCGGTATTTGTTCTTGAATGCGAGGCACTCGATGGAACTGTTGATTGGTGGCTGACCCCTATCAGCGAAGGCTTCTCGGAGGCTAGGCGTACCAAGGACGCCATTTGATCCTTTACAATATCCTTGCGACCCTTCACTTCATCGAAGAGAGAATATATCAGTCTTATAAGGCCCGGTTCTGCATGCAGGCCGCGAAAAACTTCCATGCAAAGCACTCTCTTCCAGGGAGCACCAGCATCTGGTTCAAGTAAGTGGATCAAAAGACCCAGTGCCATTTCACATTCTGCTACCAAGACGGTCATGTAATTTCGGAGAAGAATGAGAAGGATTCGAGAGACTCGGAGCGTCTGAGGAAAACCGTGCCGCTCTGATAAATATCTCACTGTCAAAGGCATCAATCGATTTCGCAAGACCTGCATCAGTTCCGAATGACGGTGAAACAGTTGGCTGCTATTCACTAAGATGCTTTCAATGAGCTCCAAAACGAATACTGGCGAGAGACTTTTGATTTGGAGAAACTCCAGCTTGTCCCCTTCAACAAGACGGCAAAGGTCATCCAGAATCTAAAATAAAAGGCCAAGTCAGCAGGGATAGGAGCAAACACCAGGGACCAAGTAGGTAATCCCACCCGAAGAGCATCATATGCGGCAAGCCCAATGTCGATTTGCTGGGCGTCAACCGTCACGGATTGAGTTGGTACGGAACCTTGCGGTTTTCCTAGAGAAAAGTCAACGGACAGCCAACCGTTGTGATAACTTTCCAGACTGACCATCTTCAACTGAGACCTTCTCGAATGCCGAGACGACCAACTGCTGCAATGTAGCAGCTGCTGTATTAGCAACCGCAACGGTCTTCGTGGCTTGCAATGTCGCGCATATTTCTAATGTGTTTGCAAGGAGCTCGCCACTCAAGTCTTCTGAATAATTATGCAGTAGAGAGGGTAATGTTTGAAGAATCTTGAGCTGAACATCTTGGCCTAAAGATTTGTCAATATCAAACAGTCCATGACACGTTTCAAGACTGTCGACTCCACATACTCAGACTTGTGGTCTCCCGCAGTCCACCCAGAGCATCGTCAAGTCGCTCAGGTGGCAGTGCGCGAGATGATACGAGCCTCTGCAGACAGACAACACCGATTCCTGCAAGCTTCGAATGGCGAGTACGACATGCTAGGACAAATGGATTGGCAAAGTTTGGGCGTCGTATCAAGTCTTTTGGACAGCTTAGCAGATCAATTGCAAATAACAGAAAAGCACATGAGCAAACAAACCAGCTGCTACTTGCGTCTCGGACGTAGCCGGCAATGCTTTCAAGTCATTGAGCGATTGCTCGGCAGCCTACAATCTATGGTCAGCTCCAACGTCCAATACTTGCTCTCTGACTGGGCCACTTAGCGGTCGGACATTTCGCAAGTCAGAGTACTTTCGCTTCGACTCCTGGATTAAGTTTGAGAGCTCTGTCTGCAAGATCTGGGAGGACATGTCAAATCACGTAGACGATAGGAACATCGCTAGACTACTGGAGTTGTTTCAGCCTAAGGGAGGGATGGATATCTCCGTGCTTGGCGCGTAGCAGGCTAATGTTGATCATAGGATCCAATGATGGCTTTATTTCAAGCGGCAAATGTGCTGTCAAAGGCTTAGGCTCTTAGGGCTCATAATGGTATCTTCCAGGAGCGTGCATTATACCTTTTGTCGAAGCC